TTTTCATTTCCCCATCAAGTTAACATTTTTTTACCTTCACATTTTTATCTACTATCAATATGAAACCAGCTCCACCGTTGGTTATAACAAATAATGTGTAGTTTTCAGTCTCCGTCAGAGTCGGATCTTCAGAAGAGATTCAAAATTTTAAGTGTCAAGAGAGAAAGGAAGAGGGTGCACATAACGAAAGCAAGGGATGAGGACAGCGTAAAGGTGCAGGGCGGATTAATCTGTCTGCTGTCGACAAAAAGAGTGGGAGGATGAGTGCTAAGAAACAAAGGCAGATAGTTGTTGGAAAGATGGCATCTGAAGAACAGAATTGATTAATAAGCCGAACAGTTGAAGGATTTTTAAAACCACTTTGACTGACTGAAATATGAATGGAAAAGACTTTAAACATGTCAAGAATAAAGTAGTAGAATGTGGGCATTTTGTTTGCCTTTATGAGCAAACGATTTAACATTTCTCTGAGGGCTGTTTCTAACTTTGTGTGGCAATATTCAGCGTCTTATGCAGGCATGTCCTTGGTAACTAATAGAAACAAAGTGACGAGGGAAGGAGTCAGTCGAGGGTACGGACTGTATTTTGTGACTCACAGACAGTCAGCAAACTATTGGGAATCGTTGGAGATTTTTTTATTTTTGCAATTTTCCGAACCCATCAGGGTTCTTAGGAATATGCCTAAAATAACAAGCTTGAACCACCTACCACCTATGATGTGTGTGTGTGTGTGTGTGGTTTAATTTTTTTCTTCCCCAGAGCCGGAAACTTTAAAGTGCATTGTTGCCTGCTCCTCCTAAAAACCCCTGTCTTTCGCTTCTCTGCTGATTCGTTTTCATTATCTGTGATTCGTTTTAAGCTTTCAATAACACCTGCCGTTTGTATCAATGTTGATAATTTAGATGAATTTGGGAAAATGCAGTCCTCAAAAGGCTTGCTATTATCATGCGGGACACACTGTACCCGTTCAAGGTCAGATCAAGTATTTGCACTCTGCCCTACAGAGATCTGCCTCTTGGATTTAGTCGTGCTGGCTTTATTTGCAGTTGTATATCATCTAATTTATAAGGCTAGGGCAAATAACAATTAAATGTTTGATAATTTTGTTATTTCTTTTATTTAAGTATTTTTTTCCACCTTGATAAAGTTTAGCTGTTTAGGAAAGTGTGACTCCTTCACATAAGACCAGAAATAACACCACATGAGACCAAATCCTCACATTTAGTTCTCTAAAACTTTGGTTTCAGTATATTTAATATTGACCAAATCTACTGAGAATTATAGAAACCATGTGCAACAAATTAAAAGGACTTCCTCACTCTTCTGTCTCAGAAGTTGGGTCTGCTCACTGTCATTAGATTGAAGAGAAAAAAACATTCAAAAACACTTTTTCTGTTAACGGATATCTGTAAATATTTGCTATACAGGCTTGATGTTATTGTCGGAGGAGCAGAGGTTTAGTTTGCCTTCAAAGGAAGAGCTCTTTGCACCGCTTTGTCTCAGAGATGCGGTATAATATGGTTTAACTCTCATATTGCACCTACCTGAATGTTTGATTGGGGTGCAAAATGACTCAGAATCACAATATGATTTCTGTTCTTAGTTAGTTTTTATAACTTTGACATTGTTTGAGCTGATTGCAGTTTATTTTTGATCTGCTTTTGATTGCGTCTGCAGATTTTCCTTCTTTTAATCTACTTAGACTGATGTTTGGGTCCTAACCCTCAATGATATTTCACCCGAAGCACTTGGTTTAACCTCTGACACACTACTCTCCATCTACCTGTTGGGTCCCCCTTGCTCCGAGGAAGGGAAGGAGATGGTGTTTATCGGAAAGTGTTCGGAAAATGGGCCGTTGGGTTTTGGAGAGAGGGGGCGCGTAGGCGACGATTGTTTAGGGGGGAGGGGTATCTCTAGATCTGTCTTCGTCAGCGTGCACCCTCTTTTCATACAACAGGAAGGAGAGTGAGTGACAGAATGTTTGAGAGCCGTAGACATCCCCAAGGACGGGAGCCTAACCCCGACCTTTGACAACCAGATCAGACCTTCAACTGGCACATTTGAAGGGGAGAGAAAGATAGGAACGAAGAGGTGGCTTTACAAGGTAGCTAAAAGACGAGCAAAGAGCGAGGAGGAAAAAAATGGATACCACGAGACAGAGGCTGCCTCGTCTCCAAGGGACTGTGCCTATAAAGATGGGCAAGGTAGGACTGATGTTTAAAACCTTACGGGTGGGACGGCTCTACTTCTTTGAAAAGAAAGATATGACATATCCCTAGGGGTGGGATAGGTTGAAACTTAAAAGAATATTTTAAGTGCATATATTTAATTGTTCTTATAATTGTAAGGGTGGAGTGCTTACGTATCTTATTTTTTTTGTCTTAAACAGTCTGTTGTAAAGTTCGTCACCAGTTAAGACGAACAATAGTGGGTGGGGGGAGCCACCGACTTACATGGAAGCCTATGCGAACATGTTTTTGTGTGTGTGTGTGTGTGTGTGTTTTTAATAAGGTGTGTTTTGGAGCAGGTTATTCAGGTGGGTGTGCTGTTGTTGTGTAGAGCCCTCTGGGTATGTTGCAAATGCTGTTAATGGACAGGGGGGGGCTGCCAGTTGCTATGGAAGGGAGGCGAGGAGCAGAAGGGTGGTGATGGTGGCAGGGGGGGAGTTAAGTTGTTTGTGGAAAATCTGGTCTGCTCAGGTGCGTGAGAGATGCACTGTCGGCCAGGTACAATACGGACGGGGCGAAGTGCGTGCTTAGAGATCCAAAGCAGGGAGTAGTTGGGTCTCATTACTGGCAGGACTCTTCAAAAGAAAAAAAAAACTTATTGTCCTTTTGGCTTTCACTTCTGGAGTTTGTCGACAGCCCATCGCTCATGCCACTTGTTGAAGAACCGGCTTTTGAAAGGTCTTCGTTTGATTAAAAAATGTCAGATAGGGCCCTATCGCACTCATGAACATCTGAGTGGCGGACATTTATTTGAGGCCTCCTGTTGCTGTTTTCCTTCCTCATTCTTTCACTGGTACTCCCCCTTTCACCCACTCTACGCTGTCACTTCCTCCCTCACCCCAGCTTGCTTTTCTTCTCTTACTTCTCTATTAGCCCTTTGTAAGTTCTTGTCCAGGTATTTTAATCAGTTGCCTAATGCTATAAAGGTTTCACACACGAATTAACCTACTGCCCCTTGGCTACTGCACCCATAGGGCATTGCACAACCCTCTGTCCTTTCCTCATCACCACCAGTCATCTGGCCCTGCATCACCCTCTGTCTAGAGATTAGTTCTACTTTTCTTCCTCTCCTCCTTAAAAATTTTGCCTCAGCATAAAGTCCATTGTCTCTATTCTTCTTTCTATTACCAGCCCCCACCCGATGAGTTGAAATCGCCTCCTCCTGATTTAGTAATCTGGATGGAAAATACAGGATGATCATGGGGGGTGAGTGGTTGTTAAGCCCTGTTTAAATTGTCCCTCACGTGAAGGAGGACTCCTCATGTCAGTCACGCTACCCAAGGTTTACTTTTAGAACGGTTAAGCAGAGGACTGGGTAATCTCTGTTTCTTAGAAACTGCAAGGACATAATAATGATATTGGAGTGCTTTGCGAAAGTACTCCTTGAAAATGTTCAAATTTTGTCACATTACATCCCCCTCGAACTTAATCTGACATATTTTGAGGGGATTTTAGGGGAAAATCCAACATATAATGATGAAGAGTTTTGAGGACGACGGAAACCAAAACATGGTTGTTAAAACATTTTAATAATTAGTTATTTTTCAGGAGAAAGCATCTGAGAGCATATATTTTGGCTTGGGACATATTCTTAATGCTATTTAGGTGTGACTTTGACTGGGACGTTGAATACTCTTTGGTCTAAACATTTCTGTTATATATCCTATTTAAATTTAATTTAGCTGAGGATTACTTGATTCTTTCTAAAGCTGAAGTTGATATTGTTGTAACTCATGTTCTAGAGGGTTTTTCAATGAGTTGTCTGTGATCATGACTGGAGGCAGGAAAGATCTCCTGTAGTGGTCTGTCTTACCGTATGTCGGATCTGGAGAAGCCTCTGACTGAAGACGCTGCTGTTGTGTAACAGACTGATGCAAAGGTTTTATGGTCCTTCTTCTACTAGAGCAGCCATGTCCAAAGTTCATCTTCATGGGCTGCTCTCTTACATGTTTAAATGTTTCTCAGCTTCAGCACATCTGATTTTGTTGATTGCAGTTCATCCTTTATCAATGGAAATAAGCAGTGCTGAAGCAGAGAAACCTTTAGAACCTGCAGGGGAGTGGCCCTCCAGGACCGACTTTAGCCTGAACTAGAAGATGGGAGCTCAGTTTGAAACTCCAGACATTTCCGGGCCTGTTTTCTCCATTGTTTTCTTGTTTTTACCACCAATCAATATTCCAGTTGACTGCAGCTTTCCTGTCCCTACGTAAGAAAAGCATTCCCACAGAATGATGCTGCCAACACCGTGTTTCACAGTGATGATGGTGTGTTCAGGGAATTGTATAGCATTGTTTTTCTGTCACACATAGAGTTTAGAATTTGCTTGGGTCCCTTTTGTGTCCAGATAAAATGATTGCATATTAATGAACAAAGTTTTTTTTATTATTGTCATAGATAACAAACAAATAATAGTCCTAGAGGTAGGAATACTGTGCACTGCACGTCTACAAGTAAATGGTATGTTTAAACCAAGAATATGTCATTTTAGAGCTGAAGAAATTAATCTGATTAATTGTGATAATTGGAAATTGAAATAACAGTTAACTAATTTAGTTATTGATTAATTGTTAGTTGCGGTATATAGACTCTAACACAAGCCATTAGCTGAGAGAGGAAACCCATTCAGGAAAGGGATAAAGTGAAAATTAATTAAAAATTTGGCATTTTAGATAGAAAAGCAGTTGAATGAATTGGCAAAGAAATAGTTTGTTGCAGCCCTATGGAAGGTCTTCAGTGGTTTCACAAACTTAACGTTCCCCTTCTGTGCTGTAGGTGGCGATGTCTCCAGGAGAGGACGGCCTGATTGGGATCCCCTTCCCGGAGCACAGCAACGAGCTCTTGTCCCACCTCAATGACCAAAGGAGGACAGGACTCCTGTGTGACCTCACCCTGACCTCCCGCGGGGCTCGCTACCCAACACACCGCTCCGTCATGGCAGCCGTCAGCCTCTACTTCCGTCGGCTGTTTGGAGCGGAGGAAGGGGGTGGTGAGGGCGGTGGGGGATTCAGCGTTTGCCAGCTGGACTGTGTTGCCCCTGATGCCTTGGATGCCCTGCTGGAATTTGCTTACACCGCCACACTTACCATTCCAAGCTCCGGGATGAGAGATGTGCTGCGAGGTGCTCAGCTGCTGGGTATCCAGTGCGTGGCTGATGCCTGCAGAGACATCCTTGGAGAGACGGGGGAGGCAGAGGGGGAAACTGCAGGGGAGCAGAGACCCCAACAGATGACTATCGAGAGGACGATAGAGACAACAAACGTTGTAGAGAAAATATCCAGAAGAAAAAATGAGAGAAAGAAAGTGAGAAAAGTTGGCTTACGTCCCAACAACTTCTCACCTCTGTACCCACTGGCCGCCTCTCCTGCCTCCCACCCTTCACCTCCCTCTGATAGCTTTCGTTCCCTGCCCCCTACCCAGCCTCCCAGTCCTGAATCAGAGGAAATCCATCCCAAACTTGGGCAAAATGGGGATCTGAGAGCCATCAGAGAGCCTGGGAGAGGAAACACACTAAATGGAGGGCTCCTTCACTGGGCACAAGAGCGACCTCTCACCGCACACCAGCCTCCCATCCAGAGCGACAAGCTCTCTGAAGATGATGACATGGAGGCGTTAGGTGACGATATCGTGGTGATGGGATCCAGCTCCATACCTACCTCTGTAGCAGATCGGGGTGCAGCCACATCAGTAGCAGGAGGGGGTAGGAAGAGGAAGTCTCAGACCCCTCAGCAGTGTCCAGTATGTCAGAAGATTATTCATGGGGCGGGAAAGCTGCCCCGCCACATGAGGACACACACCGGAGAGAAACCCTTCCAGTGCTCTGCCTGTGGAGTTCGCTTCACCCGGTATAAAAAGTTCAAAAAAAGTTTTATGTCATTTTATCTTGTCCGTATACCGTCTCATTTTTAATTTCCTTTTATTTAGCAATGATAAGTTGAAGATCCACATGCGGAAGCACACAGGAGAGCGCCCCTACACCTGTTCCCACTGCCCTGCACGGTTCCTCCATTCATACGACCTCAAAAACCACCTGTCCCTCCACAGCGGGGCGCGACCTTTCGAGTGCCCACTCTGCCACAAGGCTTTCGCCCGAGAGGACCATCTCCAGCGCCACCGCAAGGGCCACAGCTGCCTGGAGCTGCGCACTCGTCGGCCCAAGCGGGTCCCCGAGCTGGCAGAGGACGCAGGTGAGAAAGACGGCATGGGAGATCATCCCAGCCCTCTGTCTCTACAGGCCCACCACACCATGTTTCATCCCCACTCAGTGTTGGAAGGTGGATCTGCCAGTCGCCCTTCGCTGATATTCCCAGGTGGCATCGACAGGGAGCGGTCGCTGGCTCTTCAGACTCTGGCCCAACTCAACTCCCAGAGCCTGGCCAACTACCCTGAGCTCCTTCTCAGAGGGCTTGAAATGCGAGGCAGTAGAGAGATGGAGAGAGAAGGTCCTGGAGGAACGCGTTCGCCGGCTCTTCAGCGTGATAGATGGGCCGATGAAGTAGAAGACGAAGAAGCAGAAGAGGGGGAATAGTTCAGACTGTTATGTGGTAAAGCATCCACAGTAAAAAAATCAAAATAATAATCTCAGGTGGCTGGACTAATGACCTGCTGCTCCCATACAGAGAGCACTTAAAAGACCTTACAAAAAAAAAAAAAAAAGGAAAGACGGGTTTTCTGAGATATTCTAAATGTGGGGCTCTGTTTTTGGATTTTCTTTTTTGGCATACTTGTCTAGTAATGTTTGCTGTTTAAGTATTTTAATATCAAGTTGTCTCTTCAGTTTTTTTTTTTCCTTGCTGGTGTTTGTTAAATTTATGGTCACCAGGATGCTTTTCACTATGCAAACTAAAATCCAGGGCTTCAGAACAGAGAAATACCTAAAGATTTATTTTTGCTGATTCAGATGCAGTTTGAAATCCATATCGCCTACAATATCACAGTAAGGTTTGTGTGCCCGCTGTCCTCTGGTGACTATCGGTGAAAATGCAGTGAAATATAATCAAGCTCATTCCTTGGATTAAAAGCAATAATCTTGTTTTTGTTGGTGGTATAATCTTTGCTTTATTTTGGTGCTTAAACCAAAGATTTGCTTTTTTTTTTCTAGTGTAGGAGAAGACGAGAGAGGTTGAACTGTAGCCAATGTTGGGTTTGAAGAGAAGAGTCTTCCCAACTCTTTTGAAAAGCCATGAGAAAGACTCTACTTGCAATATTGGAGTGTTTCAGAGCCAAGGGGCTCTGGGCTAAATGCCTGACCAAAAAGACAAAGTCTGGATTTGTGGTTTTAATGCTGGTAAAAGACACATCTTTTATCAGTCCTGCGATGCTCTCTCATTTACATTCTTTAAAAAAAAAAAGTGTGGCAAAATGTAGGGATTACTGAGATAATATACACCCTTCTTGTGTATTTATTTATTTATTTCTATTTATTATGAACATCTTAAGACCAAATCCAGACCCGAACCCAGTCTTTGTGAAATCCTACAAAACCCTGCACTGATGATTTTTGCTCAACAACCCCATACACCCAAACGCCTTGTTTTTTAAAAAGGCTGATTGTCTTCTTTCAAGCCATTCTTCCTCAAATGCATTCTTTGCACATTTAACCCACCAGGTTCTGCAGTAATACAGGCACATTCCACCCTTCAGAGGGTAACACAGAAGGACTAGAGCAGAGGCATCAGGGAGTGTGGGGAGGGGGGGTGGGGTAATAAGAAACTCCTAAAGCTGGAACTCAGTGTGGACAATACGTATCTCACACTATTACATAGCAGTTCTTATAGTTTGGCTGTGACTAAAAGGGGCCATTAGGTTTTTTTGTTTTTGTTGAGTTTATTCATTTCTGACCAAAATCTACATGCTTTCCATGGCTGTTTAGCTGCAGGTCACGTTTGCTTGCTGGGGAGAGGGTTGATTTTCTTCTCATTCACATCGAAGTCAATGTAGCATATGTGCTGTTTTGGCCTGTCTTTGCTGTTTTGGAACTCTCCGTTTGTTTCCATTTTATTTGCACTATGAGATTGGAGAGCTTCAAGCTTTTCTTGTTCAACATTCAACATTTTGCCCTTTAACTATCATTACTGATTAAGTAGTCTATACTTTTGTAAAACCCTCATCCATACTTCATTGCATTACTAGAGTTATAGTAAAAAAAAACTGTGTATATATATATATATATATATATATATATATATATATATATATATATATATATATATATATATATATATATATGGCATAGATGTATATCGGGATGAAGTTGCCTTAGGGTTTTTATGTGTTGCAACTATTCTCAGGAAATCTTGAGCAATGCACTAAGTGATTATACAAAATGTTAAATGGGAAGCAAGCGGTGCTGTTGGGTTATTGATACGCTTCATGCATGGTGGGATACCAGTAGTTTGATATATTATATTTTCTAGATTTTATAATGAAGGAGATGATAGTCAGATAATAGTAATGAAAGTAATCTACTGGCCTTGCTGGAACCTGTCCTACTGGAATGGCAGTATGACAGTTGGTCCTGTGCATGAAGGGTGTTGGTGCTCCCTTTTAAAAGCTTTGTGAATGAATGACGGTTAAACTGATGTCAGCTGTGAAGCTTGTGTCGATTTTTTTTTTTTGTTTGTTTGTTTGCTTTTTTTCCTGGCTTCGGTGAGGGGACTTTGAGGGGTATGGTCTGAATAGAGACCCCACTATCAGGGATACTTTTTGTTGTCTTTCAGTTTGTAGAGAACTTCTTCTCACAGATAAAAATTAAATTTTCCATGATTTGTTTCAGATGATGTAAAGAAAATAAATATATATAAGCTTGCCTTTTTTGTGTGCTGCTTTGTTGTTTTTAAACACAACTCTCTAGGGTTTCAGTAATTCCTCAAAACTCTCATAAAAGTTAAGAATGCGCCCCCTGGTGGACTAATTCCACAACTGTTTAACACCATTTCATTACTTTTGACATGGGTCTTTACACATTTCATTAGTCTATTACTTTGAAATAATAAATCAACCCATTTTTGTTTCTCATAACCAACAAGAAATCCCAGAGGAGAAAACATTAAAAGCACATCGATTATTTTAACAGATACGTTTTTCATTTATACAGCTAAAGCTCAATGCAGGCACTTTGATTTAAAATGTATTAAAATATAATGCTTCCATGATGCCTAACAGTGCATCTGACACTATGGTATCCATCACTAACTACAAGAGGTCACCACATATTTATTTGGGATGTGTCAAAAATCTGAATGAATGTCAGAGTAATTACCCAATAATAATGATACAGAGTTGTGTTATTTGCAAAGAAGACGTTTTATTAACCTCAGAATACCGGATGGTTGAAACTCAAGGTAAAAACCAATAGCATCGCATTTAATATGATAATGATCTGGCAACAACCTCACTGCCAGATGTTAATTTGATCCTTTATTATGAAACTTTAGACAGATTATGGGACATTGTAACATTTAATGATGTAGCTGAGCACTAAGTTGAATATAACTGATTCCAGTTAAGCGCACCATTCAAATAGGAAGTGAGTAGTGCATGAACCAGAACCTTTGCTTAAAAAATATGACATTGTGTTCAACTAAATCTCTTATATTTCCCCTTGTTTAGACAAAATTTTTATACTGTGTGCCATAGTTATTAACCACCTGTTAATCTTAACTGTGTAAAGGTACGTGGGAACACCACTAGCTACATCTTTCTAGTGGTCGCAAAAGGATTAAGCAACATAATCTGGCATAAACAGGAATAAAGAACATTGCAAAGTTTGTATAATGCTGATAAATCACCGGTTCTAGCAATGGTGTAGGGCAAGACCTATGAAATACAAATTAAATTTAAAAAGCTAATTGCATAGTGAAAACCCAGCTAATTGGTCAGATTATTTTTTTCAAAATGTGAAGTTAATATTAGCGAGGTGTTCGGGTAAAACTGAGCAGAACTATCAGCTAAACCAAGAATCGAAGCTGGTAAAACAGCCCATCTGAGTGATGGGGATCTGCTTCAGCATCTCTTTCTCTCACTGTGAACATCTATGCAAAGGATTAAGAAATATCAGATACTAAATGGAAAAAGATTCTAGATTCTATCAACAAAATATAATTCACAAATTATATTAGACTTTCACAAGCAGTGCACAGATAAATAGGCTGCCCCAACATTTTCAGATTGTAAACCATGATGCATTACAAATCATTTTTATCAGGTGATCTTAAATGGCCTTTGCACAACACTCCAAACTAATACCTGGAATTGGATCAGGTCATTCCTAATCTGAACCAAATTCTGTCAACTGGAGACAGTTTTAGGATCTATTTCTTGCCGTTACGTGTGTTCAGTAGTTCCTAGTTAAGCATTGACAAATAATACTGTAGCCACCATAGTAAACTCGTCCATTAAGAAATTATATGCTGCCATTGACCAAAGGATGGCAATGCAGTCAAAATGTAGATATCTTTGATATAGATATTTGTATTGGATCCAATTTCTGTCTTGTTCTTATTTTTACATCAACCTGAAAACTTCAGCTATAAGGTGAAATGTGGTGGTGGCAGCAGGGTAGAGGAACGCCCATTTAGGTGAATACTGGGAGGCGGATAAATTAATTAAATGATGAAGCTAAATATGCAGCCCCATCCTGAAAAAAAAAAAAAAAGTTGTTACAGAATGAAAAAGACTTGAAATTGAGGCAGAGGTTCCTTTTCCAACTAACAGTGACCATAAACATACAGCTAGAGCTACTATGGTTTAGACAACAGTATGAATCCTAAATTTTCCTTTATTGAACTACTTTAGTTGTTATCACGTATAATCCTAGAAAAATTCATTGATGTTTCCATTTGTAAAGTGTAAAAATGTGAAAAAAAGAGAATTAATGTACATTTGATTAAATATGCTGCTGTACTTTGAATAAGGAGTAAAAAAAAAAACTAAAAACTGTCATTTTTATTAAAAGTTAGACATTATTTTCTCCAAAATATAATTTAAACAATATTTTAAGGGCTTTTCAGCCCTGTTTAATTTTCCACATTGATGCAGTGCCTCATAATAAACCAGTTAAAAAGCCATTAGTTACAATTATAGGTGTGATGAAACAAAGAAACTGAAATACTGTATGTTTGAAGGGCTGGCTCTTCCTTCATGCTGAGTTAGAACAGGATCTGACGTACAAGGTTCCATAATCTTCTTACTTTAATTAATCTGGTACAGGATGCCTGAAGGTCCCTTCCTACAACAGCAGACAGACAGTTTCAAACGACAATTTTGGTGCACAGGGAGAGATCTGAGAACCTGAGAGAAGTAGCCCCGTGGAGTTATCTGAAGGTGGCTGTCTTCTCCTGCAGGATGCTTTTGGTCCCTTCACGGATGTTGCAGGGCGCTGCGGTGCGGCAGGCCTCTCCACGGCTCACATACAGCTCAGCAGCACAGGTGCAGGTAGGTAAGCACTCACTGAGGGCAGAGGAGCACCAAAACACCTTAGACCTGGGCTGACCTTTAGTCTTGACTTAGAGAAGTCTTGAAGAATGAAATTCTAGAACAATGTTCACGATAATTACAAAAGCAAACCACAGCAATTACTGATAAAACTGCTGCAAAGACAAGTGATGGATTTCTATGCTGCACGGTATTTATTTCTAAATGTAAGAACATGATCAGGTTAGATCTAGGGGGTCAATTTAACAAATATATTTTCCCACTCATGTTTTAGTTTAAAAACCAATATTTCCAAACACTTAACATGTTTTATATAATGAAAAAATGTGGATGCTGCTCAATAAAGAAAGAAGACATAACCAAACAAAATACATTAAAAAAGTCAATATTGTCTTTATTTTTTTTTAAAGAGAAATCAGCCTTAGGTAAGTTTATTTTCACCTTTGAAATTAAAAGCAAAAGGGAAAAAAATAATAATATCCAAAATTTATTTAATAAAACCTGGTTGATAGCATACAATGCAAGAGTATGACAGACCACTAGACCACTAGACAGTAATCTGTTCATATATATATATATATATATATATATATATATATATATATATATATATATATATATATACATATATATATCTATATATATAGATATATATATATCTATATATATAGATATATATATATCTATATATATAGATATATATATATGAAAATTGGCAGAAATTTTGCATTTATTTAATTTCCATAAACAAACTGGTCAAGTTTATTTCTTTTTGAAGCCCTATCTTAACTGCAACATGTGCAGGTATGCATAAATTACTTTATAAGTAATCCATCTGAATCCTGAGGCAGTGTTATTTAGATTATGATGCCAAGATATCAATAGATGGTTGTGTAAGAAAGTCCAGCAGAATGAGGTCCAGCTATTGGCTGTTGAAGCAGTTCCCTGCATGGATCAGGCTCACTATGAGACAAAAACTGCTGCAAACCATTTAGGCTTTGAGAAGACAATGAGGAAGCAGAAACCACTCAAAACATCCAATTCTGGGTGAAAAACAAAGCACCTGGTTTATCCCTGTTAATATCTAGAGTTCAGATGTTTTTCTTAGTACCCAAAAACTGTATTTTAGTGAGAATAGCATTACTTCAACATATTTTTACTCAAGTAAAAGTAAGAAATAGCTATTATAGAAGTGGCTCAAGAGTAAAAAAGTATTCTATTAAAAGGCAACTCTAGTACTGAGTAACTGA